GATTGTCCCCCCTATATATGGAGATTGTTCTGGCCCCTCCCCCTACTCTCTTTGTAGTATACGTGGACACACGAATCCTTATACTCATTGCTGTGTGAAGGTGACTGCATATGAACTAAGCTGCTAAAAACGCAGGTATGACAATATGTCTCCCTGCAGGACACCTGTGTAGTATAATCCACCTCCTTCTGTATTCTCACTGGGAGTGTTCACTCCCACTCTTCCTAGCCAGCAGCAACCGGAGGTTTGGGAATGAGCAACATATCTTTCTCCAAGCGCCTAGCCTCAAGGTGTCACAGAATGGGACACACCCTACAGCACCACACTCTTGTTGGCTGCAATGTAATTGGCCTTCTCTCTCCTACGCAGCTCAATCCAGGTGTCATCAGATGGTGCCAGGGCTCTCCATTGGACAACACAGCAGCAGACCACCGAGCTCAGTGATCTGCTACCACTGTAGTCGAGGATGTCTGACATGAACATGTCACCTATGCCAACACAACTGACTTTTTCCATCTGTACCTGCATGTACCTGCAATGATGCAATGAGGTGCTTACAATACAAAAACCCAAAAACATCTTATAACAATTACTCATGCAGGTGGACATGGCAAACATCAACAAAAATCACAGCATTCAACTATGACAAACGCCTGTACATTGCCGGGAGAGCTGCCTGGCATATGACTATATTATACTAGTGGTGATACTGTGGGTAACAATAAACATTCCTCTACAATTGGGGCACATTTTGCTTGTTATTGACATTTCAATCATGATCGCCACTATCAACAGCATTGCAATGGACTGTGTCAGGATCCACATAAGTACGGTAGTACGTAGTATAGAGGGGCTGGGCATGGTCCTAGCATCCTAGATGCATCTTCTGCTTCTTCTTCTCAGATTCAACTCAAAAAACTCAATTAGATCAAAGCATGAAAATTTTGTAAGATGTAGATGTATCCATAACCCGATGAGAGTGGTCATATTGTGTTTAGTAAACATTGTTTACAGTAAGTAACACAACAATAGCCCCTGGCACAGGCATTATGATGGGGATACATGAGGCAGCAGAACTCATAACACAGCTATTATGTAAAATAAAGTTTGTATACTAGGTATTCCATCACCCAACACGAAAACACAACAATACAAGTTTGTGTAATGGAGCTCGCAATGTATGTGATATTCACTATTTGTTAGCTAGGAAAGCCACATATGGATATGAAACGTGGTAAGCATGTGTTTCATCCTCACCATGTCACCAAAGTGCGTGATTACATGTTTGTAAAAACACAACATCATATAGCTCAAACTTGCTATAGTAGAGACGCACATAGACATCAACTTGGTACACATGTGTATATTAGTGCATCTTACCGATCACATACATGGTTAAAAACAACGACAAGAGCCTCGGGCATAATAATTTAATTTCAGCTTGCCCACTCCCACTTTAGCGACATGTACACAAGTGTATATAAAACTGAGAGGAAGCAAAGGGAAAATAACATTCTACTCTCTACGCCTGGCTGGGGAATAGACACATCACACCTCCATTATTATTATAATTATTATGCCTTCATATCCCATCCCTGTCTTGTCTCCCTTCTTTTTTACCATCCCTGATATTCCCTCACTATAAAGTAATATATGCTACAACGACACCATGTCTGTACGCACGCTCATTGGCTCCGGTTTTCCGTTGCATGACCTACATAGTGATTCACTGGTATGGGCAGTCACTGGTGTTGGGTTCTGGTACTGGTGGGTTTGGTTGTTTGATTGTGCCAAGCACATCACGAATGAAAGTACTGCACTGTGACATAGCCTTCACACAGGAACTGATAAAGGAAGTGAGTTGAGGGACTACCATCACATAGCCTATCAATTACATATAAAAACCTTAGGCAACTCTTTGCCTACATGGACTTGTTTTCTGTGAGGGAGGTGAGCACGGGTGATAGAGCATGACTTTTAATAGATAAAGTCAATCATGCAAGCACATAAATATATTAAGGATGGGAGAATAACTCTTAATGACGGTTTTTATCATAAAATCAGCTGATTAGCTTGTGTGTGGGAGTTCCACCTCATATACGCATTTTTCAGGACATACATGCAGCAATATTGCTCAGAGTAACCCAACCAACAATCTTAGCAGTAATAATCAGCCCCATAAGGCAGAGTCACCTGGGCAAGAGTAATTGTGTAGGTGTACTAGTGTTTGTTGCTCCCCCAGTGCTTCTTAGCAGTAAATAAAACTATGACACCCACTTGCTATCTGCACTTGGCAAACCCACAGATTGATCATTAGCCCCACCAACTAAGTGTGTGCAGGCTTGTGCGTGTGACAGTTGAGAGGATCATATCCATGCCAACCCTCCCACACTCAAAGATGAAACGGACACACACACCACACACCCTACAGTACACCACCAGCCGCTGACCACATGAGCCACTGCATTATGCAGGAAAACATTGAGTACAGGCTGCAAACACATCCGGCATACATGCCATAACGGTATACCAGTGTCCTAAAACAGTTTCCTACCTGTCAAACCAGTTTTTTTTTGCCTATAAGACATGGGCCCTGCGGCCAGTTCTTCAGTCTGCCGGCAGATGTCAAGACCTCCGAACTCAAAGCCGCGTGACTGAAAAGCCGCCTGTGAGTTACTAAAGTACTGTAACAAAACTAAACTCAGCCTATCCCTTGGGCTTTCTCTCTCTCTCACTCTGGAGTAGTTTCATGAAAATTTGAAATTTGAAAAATGAGTCACACTTGGTTGTTCAATCAGAGAGTAGCTCATAATGCAGCTAATATACACCAAACCCGTGTAACCCTCTCTTTTGGGATCAACTGGAGTGTACGGACCCAGCGCGTAGCGAAATCACTCGCAATCGTGTGCGCCTGTCCAAATAAGGCCTAACCACTCGATGCCGCGTGTATGCAGCCAAGAAAAGCAGGGTCGGCTGACCGCGAAGGCTCCCCGGATTGTCTACTCCGCCTTACTGCGCTTAGACCTCCGTGGAACAGTGTCGTTGTGCTGTGAAGTCACGGAGCGTAGCGAGAGAAAGTACATTGAGTAGTCGGAACCTAGCCCTGGACCATCGCCGCCTTGGTTTGTAACAGCACCGACTTTGCCCTAGTAAGTGTACATTTGCCCTAGTACGAGAAAGCCGGAGCGCCGGCCTACATTCCGCTCCTGTTAGTTCGACTGAAGATCAACTGTCGTTGTGCTGGGGTGAAGCACAGTCGAACTAACCAGAGTGGAATGTAGGCCGGCGCTCTTTCTCCTACTAGGGCAAATGTACACACAGCCGACCCTGCCATCTTGCCTTTTTCTTGGCTTGCATACGCGGCATCGAGTGGGTGTGGCCTTATTTGGACAGGCGCACACGATTGCGAGTGATTTGCGAGTCGCCGGAAGTCGCTACGCGCTGGGTCCGTACACTCCAGTTGATCCCTCTTTTGTCTCTTTCTCTCTTTCCCTCCCTCTCTCTTTCCTTGCAGGAGACACTGATATCCGGAGACACTCCCCAATACCCCGTAAGTGTGCCATTTCACTGCATCACTCTATACTCATTAATTTTTACCATAGCCTTAGATTGAAAAGAGCAATCAGTGGAAATTACATTCTTTGCCTATATTGCAAATTCTCCTTTTTGTCACAATTTTCTTGTCAGCTAAGAGTACACTAATGCAGCACTAAATTATGCAAACTTGTGCAAGCTTTGACATAGTTGTGATGTAAAATCCACCCCCTGTATGAGCTGAAGAATGAGTGACCTAGCGATTCCCACACATTCTGAACAACATTGTGTAATGGCATTGATCTGCAGCATTTCTAAAAGAGCAATCAGTGGAAATTACATTCCAGCATTTCTAAAAGAGCAATCAGTGGAAATTACATTGCCTGTCTTGCAAATTCCCCTTTTTCCCACTATTTTCCTGTCATCTAACCCTGGCCACCCAGTCTTTTTCAACTATGCCAATATTACAAAGGCACCATCCTCACTAAAGGTTTTCATGCTCACACCCTTCGTATTGTTTCACTGAGCATTTTTCCTACAGTCTCCTGAGGCAAACTTTAGCACCAAAGGCAGGCTAGTAGAGGACAACGGAAGCTACATCTTTGAACTATTCCACTACACTCACCAGGTAAACATTGCAGTCTATAGGGAGAGACACGAGTTGCAGTATGCAAACTCGTGCAAGCTTTGACACAGTTGTGATGTAAAATCCGCCCCCTGCATGAGCTGAAGAATGAGTGACCTACGATTCCCACACATTCTGAACAACATTGTGTAATGGCATTGATCTGCAGCATTTCCAAAAGAGCAATCAGTGGAAATTACATTGCAGCATTTCTAAAAGAGCAATCAGTGGAAATTACATTGCCAGTCTTGCAAATTCCCCTTTTTTCCACTATTTTCCTGTCATCTAAGAGTAGACACTAAATTATGCAAAGTTGTGCAAGCTTTGACACAGTTGTGATGTAAAATCCGCCCCCTGTATGAGCTGAAGAATGAGTGACCTAGCGATTCCCGCACATTCTGAAACAACATTGTGTAATGGCATTGATCTGCAGCATTCTAAAAGAGCAATCAGTGGAAATTACATTGCCTGTCTTGCAAATTCCCTTTTCCCACTATTTTCCTGTCATCTAACCCTGGCCACCCAGTCTTTTTCAACTATGCCAATATTACAAAGGCACCATCCTCACTAAAGGTTTTCATGCTCACACCCTTCGTATTGTTTCACTGAGCATTTTTCCTACAGTCTCCTGAGGCAAACTTTAGCACCAAAGGCAGGCTAGTAGAGGACAACGGAAGCTACATCTTTGAACTATTCCACTACACTCACCAGGTAAACATTGCAGTCTATAGGGAGAGACACGAGTTGCAGTATGCAAACTCGTGCAAGCTTTGACACAGTTGTGATGTAAAATCCGCCCCCTGCATGAGCTGAAGAATGAGTGACCTAACGATTCCCACACATTCTGAACAACATTGTGTAATGGCATTGATCTGCAGCATTTCCAAAAGAGCAATCAGTGGAAATTACATTGCAGCATTTCTAAAAGAGCAATCAGTGGAAATTACATTGCCAGTCTTGCAAATTCCCCTTTTTTCCACTATTTTCCTGTCATCTAAGAGTAGACACTAGCTGCAGCACTAAATTATGCAAACTTGTGCAAGCTTTGACACAGTTGTGATGTAAAATCAGCCCCCTGCATGAGCTGAAGAATGAGTGACCTAGCGATTCCCACACATCTGAACAACATTGTGTAATGGCATTGATCTGCAGCATTTCTAAAAGAGCAATCAGTGGAAATTACGTTGCCGGTCTTGCAAATTCCCCTTTTTTCCACTATTTTCCTGTCATCTAAGAGTAGACACTAAATTATGCAAACTTGTGCAAGCTTTGACACAGTTGTGATGTAAAATCCGCCCCCTGTATGAGCTGAAGAATGAGTGACCTAGCGATTCCCACACATTCTGAACAACATTGTGTAATGGCATTGATCTGCAGCATTTCTAAAAGAGCAATCAGTGTAAATTACATTCCAGCATTTCTAAAAGAGCAATCAGTGTAAATTACATTCCAGCATTTCTAAAAGAGCAATCAGTGGAAATTACATTGCTGGTCTTGCAAATTCCCCTTTTTTCCACTATTTTCCTGTCATCTAAGAGTAGACACTAGTTGCAGCACTAAATTATGCAAACTTGTGCAAGCTTTGACACAGTTGTGATGTAAAATCCGCCCCCTGCATGAGCTGAAGAATGAGTGACCTAGCGATTCCCACACATCTGAACAACATTGTGTAATGGCATTGATCTGCAAGAGCAATCAGTGGAAATTACGTTACCGGTCTTGCAAATTCCCCTTTTTTCCACTATTTTCCTGTCATCTAAGAGTAGACACTAAATTATGCAAAGTTGTGCAAGCTTTGACACAGTTGTGATGTAAAATCCGCCCCCTGTATGAGCTGAAGAATGAGTGACCTAGCGATTCCCGCACATTCTGAACAACATTGTGTAATGGCATTGATCTGCAGCATTTCTAAAAGAGCAATCAGTGGAAATTACATTGCCTGTCTTGCAAATTCCCCTTTTTCCCACTATTTTCCTGTCATCTAACCCTGGCCACCCAGTCTTTTTCAACTATGCCAATATTACAAAGGCACCATCCTCACTAAAGGTTTTCATGCTCACACCCTTCGTATTGTTTCACTGAGCATTTTTCCTACAGTCTCCTGAGGCAAACTTTAGCACCAAAGGCAGGCTAGTAGAGGACAACGGAAGCTACATCTTTGAACTATTCCACTACACTCACCAGGTAAACATTGCAGTCTATAGGGAGAGACACGAGTTGCAGTATGCAAACTCGTGCAAGCTTTGACACAGTTGTGATGTAAAATCCGCCCCCTGCATGAGCTGAAGAATGAGTGACCTAACGATTCCCACACATTCTGAACAACATTGTGTAATGGCATTGATCTGCAGCATTTCCAAAAGAGCAATCAGTGGAAATTACATTGCAGCATTTCTAAAAGAGCAATCAGTGGAAATTACATTGCCAGTCTTGCAAATTCCCCTTTTTTCCACTATTTTCCTGTCATCTAAGAGTAGACACTAAATTATGCAAAGTTGTGCAAGCTTTGACACAGTTGTGATGTAAAATCCGCCCCCTGTATGAGCTGAAGAATGAGTGACCTAGCGATTCCCGCACATTCTGAACAACATTGTGTAATGGCATTGATCTGCAGCATTTCTAAAAGAGCAATCAGTGGAAATTACATTGCCTGTCTTGCAAATTCCCCTTTTTCCCACTATTTTCCTGTCATCTACCTGGCCACCCACGTCTTTTTCAACTATGCCAATATTACAAGGCACCATCCTCACTAAAGGTTTTCATGCTCACACCTTCGTATTGTTTCACTGAGCATTTTTCCTACAGTCTCCTGAGGCAAACTTTAGCACCAAAGGCAGGCTAGTAGAGGACAACGGAAGCTACATCTTTGAACTATTCCACTACACTCACCAGGTAAACATTGCAGTCTATAGGGAGAGACACGAGTTGCAGTATGCAAACTCGTGCAAGCTTTGACACAGTTGTGATGTAAAATCCGCCCCCTGCATGAGCTGAAGAATGAGTGACCTAACGATTCCCACACATTCTGAACAACATTGTGTAATGGCATTGATCTGCAGCATGTCCAAAGAGCAATCAGTGGAAATGACATTGCAGCATTTCTAAAAGAGCAATCAGTGGAAATTACATTGCAGTCTTGCAAATTCCCCTTTTTTCCACTATTTCCTGTCATCTAAGAGTAGACACTAGCTGCAGCACTAATTATGCAAACTTGTGCAGCTTTGACACAGTTGTGATGTAAAATCAGCCCCCTGCATGAGCTGAAGAATGAGTGACCTAGCGATTCCCACACATCTGAACAACATTGTGTAATGGCATTGATCTGCAGCATTTCTAAAAGAGCATCAGTGGAAATTACGTTGCGGTCTTGCAAATTCCCCTTTTTCCACTATGTTTCCTGTCATCGGAAGAGTAGACACTAAATTATGCAAACTTGTGCAAGCTTTGACTCAGTTGTGATGTAAAATCCGCCCCCTGTCTGAGCTGAAGAATGAGTGACCTGAGCGATTCACCACACATTCCGACACAACATTGTGTAATGGCATTGATCTGCAGCATTCTAAAGAGCAATCATGTAAATACAACAATACAAAACACAATAAAAAGAAATAACAAATGCCAAAAGCCATAAAACAAAAAACAAAAACACAGTAAAAATTACAAACATGATCAAATATATACCAAAGCAACAAAAGACAAAGAAACAACACACATAAACAGAAATGTTTCCCAAAACATACACAACAATACTAGAATAACGACTTACAGAAAATCCCATCATTTCTCAAATAGCAACTTTAAATGCACTTTCCCCTCATTCCAGCATTCCTAGAGCAATCATTGGAATCTTGCTGGTCTTGCAAATTCCACGTTTTTCCTACTATTGTTCCTGTCATCGAAGCGTCTAGACACTAGTTCAGCACTAATTATGCAACTTGTGCAGCTTTGACACAGTTTGTGATGTAAAATCCGCCCGCTGCATGAGCTGAAGAATGAGTGACCATAGCGATTCCCACACATTCTGACACATTGTGTAATGGCATTGATCTCTCAGCATGGCTAAAAGAGCAATCAGTGGAAATTACGTTCGCATCCTGTCCTTGCAAATTCCCTTTTTTCACTATTTTCCTGTCATCTAAGCACTAGACACTAAATATGCAAACTTGGTGCAAGCTTTGACACAGTTGTGATGTAAAATCCGCCCCCTGTATGAAGCTGAGAATGAGTGACCTAGCGATTCCCCACACATTCTGAACAACATTGTGTAATGCATGGTCTCATCAGTGAATCGGTACACAGCATTTCTAAAAGAGCAATCAGTGGAAATTACATTGCCATGTCTTGCAAATTCCCCTTTTTTCCACTATTTTCCTGTCATCTAGAGTAGACACTAAATTATGCAAACTTGTGCAAGCTTTGACACAGTTGTGATGTAAATCCGCCCCCTGTATGAGCTGAAGATGAGTGACCTAGCGATTCCCACCTCTGACACATTCTGTAATGGCATTGACTCTGCAGCATTCTAAAGAGCATCAGTGGATACTGCAGCATTTCTAAAGAGCATCAGTGGAAATTACATTGCCTGTCTTGCAAATTCCCCTTTTTCCCACTATTTTCCTGTCATCTAACCTGGCCACCCAGTCTTTTTCAACTATGCCAATATTACAAGGCACCATCCTCACTAAAGGTTTTCATGCTCACACCCTTCGTATTGTTTTCACTGAGCATTTTTCCTACAGTCTCCTGAGGCAAACTTTAGCACCAAAGGCAGGCTAGTAGAGGACAACGGAAGCTACATCTTTGAACTATTCCACTACACTCACCAGGTAAACATGCAGTCTATAGGGAGAGACACGAGTTGCAGTATGCAAACTCGTGCAAGCTTTGACACAGTTGTGATGTAAAATCCGCCCCCTGTATGAGCTGAAGAATGAGTGACCTAGCGATTCCCACACATTCTGAACAACATTGTGTAATGGCATTGATCTGCAGCATTTCTAAAAGAGCAATCAGTGGAAATTACATTCCAGCATTTCTAAAGAGCAATCAGTGGAAATTACATTGCCTTCTTGCAAATTCCCCTTTTTTTCCACTATTTTCCTGTCATCTAGAGAGTAGACACTAAATTATGCAAACTTGTGCAAGCTTTGACACAGTTGTGATGTAAAATCCGCCCCCTGCATGAGCTGAAGAATGAGTGACCTAGCGATTCCCACACATTCTGAACAACATTGTGTAATGGCATTGATCTGCAGCATTTCTAAAAGAGCAATCAGTGGAAACTACATTGCAGCATTTCTAAAAGAGCAATCAGTGGAATTACATTGCCAGTCTTGCAAATTCCCCTTTTTTCCACTATTTTCCTGTCATCTAAGAGTAGACACTAGTTTGCAGCACTAAATTATGCAAACTTGTGCAAGCTTTGACACAGTTGTGATGTAAATCCGCCCCCCTGCATGAGCTGAAGAATGAGTGACCTAGCGATTCCCACACATTCTGAACAACATTGTGTAATGGCATTGATCTGCAGCATTTCTAAAAGAGCAATCAGTGGAAATTACGTTGCCGGTCTTGCAAATTCCCCTTTTTTCCACTATTTTCCTGTCATCTAAGAGTAGACACTAAATTTGCAAACTTGTGCAAGCTTTGACCATTGTGATGTAAAATCGCCCCTGCTGAGCTGAAGAATGAGTGACCTGCGATTCCCACACATCTGAACACATTGTGTAATGGCATTTGATCTGCAGCATTCTAAAGAGCATCAGTGGAAATTACATTGCAGCATTCCAAAAGAGCAATCATGGAAATTAGCTTCTTGCAATCTTCAATCTGCATCTGATAGAACAGTTGCGCACAAAGTGCAGCTTTGACAGTGATGTAAATCCCTGTATGAGCTGAAGTGAGGGCGATTCCCCTCTGAACACTTGTGTAATGCATTGATCTGGCATTTCTAAAAGGCATCAGTGGAAATT